ATTATATTTAATTTATTCCATTTTCTTTCTATTTCATTTTCTATTCCTTTGTTATTTAAAGTATAAATAATAAAAAAATAAAAATTACCTCATAATTACTTCGCTGTTGCCCGATGCCATCTAGGATTTCTCCTCCTCTTGTTGCTAGATTACTTCGTTTCGTACATACGCAAAATAAACTCGCGAAAAAATATGATTAATTATTGTACAATCTCGCAATATTATTTCATTTCAAGTTTTTATGTCTCGAACAAAATAAAAATGTAATTGTAATAAAGAAAATATTTTAATTTTTGCGAAAAACGGTCTTTTCATTTATTAAAATTACATAATTTTTCTTTTCGTGACATAAAAGTTTAAAAAAAAAGAAATAGTAATAATAATAAGAAACTGTATATACTTAATTTTCCAACCACAGGCAAGTATAAACTTTAATTAATCTCCAAAATAACTTTAATTAATCTACTAGAATATTTATTTACAGTTATATGAGGTAGAATGAAGAATTTTATATATAAAATATATTCAAATTCTCCCGAAAACAAAATGTGCATAAATTATTCTCTAAAAGTTTTAACAAGATTCAACTTTTTAAAAAAACTTTACCGAAGAGATCGCGCTTACAAAATCCAATTGACTTTTAAATTTAATTTAAAAATTGCTTTAGGCATACAATTATAATGTATAATTCGCTAAGAGTTACATTGTTTAATCAGAATTTATCATGTATATATACATACACATGACCGACATTGCAATAATCATATGCATAGAAGTCGAGTGAAACTAGCTTCTGCCATTTCTGCTTTGCTGCTACAAAAATATCCTCCATGTCGACTTTACCAGCTTCTTATCTTTTGCTAACCACAATTTATCTACATTCGATGTACCGTTTATATATCAAGTGAATTATTATCAGCAATATCAATCGAATGGTGATATAGTCAGCGAAAGAACTTTCTTCATTATCTATCATTATTAATAATACATATAACATTGATATTGCATTAAAATTATTATCGTCAAATATTAGTATCAGCATTTGAAATAATAAAAATATCATTTTTTTCTATAATAAATTTAATATATACATAAAAAAAAAGAATAAGAGTCATACTATAAGAGAGGCAATTGATAATTCTCGAAATATTTTAAGTACTAACTACAGTATATTAAATATTTATTAATAACGTCATGCATATATATTATATTATTAAATTATATATGGTCAGAAAAATTACATCTAGGGGAAAAACGATTCCGAAATACTTTCCTCAATCTAAAATCAATGTTCTGCGCATATTCGGCAGTCATTAGTTACCATTCGTGCCAGAAACGCGTAATCAAAATGAGGGAGAAAAAAATTAGCATTATCTCTTCATGTAACAATAAGTCCACCGAGAGTTCTTTACATAGGATTATCGCGTGGATCGGTGACAGTACGCGTGACAAACAATTACGTATTTCACTAGTTTTGACGTATCGGAGGTGTGTTGCTGACGACAGAGATGACGTTACCGATGCAACTAACCTACCGTAATCGAAAACATAATGGTGCATCAAACATAACCGGAGACTGGTAAATCTTTGGAATGGGGAAACACGACGGGCAAGCTGGTTCATGCCGATCGAGCACAACTCCGAGGTCATAGCTCGAGATTGTCATTACGGCGCCAATTATCTTGCTCGCGGGTATACTCGCCTGCTACCCGCGAACCTTATCAGCCGGCCTTCAATCGATCCTCTATGGATTGACAATTGGGTCGATTATGGTAAATATGTTACACTAAACGCACTCAAGAGATTTGCCGTCTGATATCACGAGATAGAAAACGAATTTGACTAAAAAGAAAAGAGATCGTCAATAATAATTGATAATTAAAAACATAATAAGCGCAAATGTATTATTACATAATTGCAGACCAGTTTATTATCAATTATGATGATTAAAGTGCAAATAAACGTTAATAAAGACGCTTTTATATTTTAAATATATTTTAAATTAGGTAATTAAATATGTTAATATTTTAACGAGAGTTTTATAAAATACTGAAAGGCAAATACAGCAAAGAATAATGCCTCAATACACTTACACTAAATTAATTATCTTATAGCATTCATTTCTCATTTCGTCTTGCTATTTATCAACCTCATTTTACGACGTAGTATTACTGCACAATAGAGGCTACAGGAATATTCGTTAACATGCAAAGTCAGAAGTAGCTAACGTTGATGTTTATTTTACAACGAAAATACGTCATACTTTACATTGTAATAATCTTGCAAAACGTCAAAATTACTGATTTACTCAATTCCGTCGATGGTATTTCAATTGCATTGCCTGGCCAGAGACCAGGTTCATATTATTTCAACTGCGACAGCTAGGCGGTGTCGCTCATTGTCAACGAGAGATATCTTTGTATGAACAATGGACCAAATGTTAATTGTTGTTAATAAAGAGTCATGTATGTTGCTGTTGCAACGGCAAGCAGAGCCGCGGAAGAGGCTGCACCTGTACCAGCCGTGCGCGAAGCGCAAACACACCTGAAACCTTTGACCTTTTCATCGACGCTCGCCTCTCCTGCCAGCGACCATCGATCTTTCCCTTCGTCCGCCCCTTCGAACCCTTCGTCAAACTGCAATCCCATCCTCAACAAGCATCGTTGTACGGCACTGGAACGGCATCCCTGAAAGCTAGATCGCGATCAGTGCACTTGATTTAATTATACGGAGGCTGAATATATGTTAATATTTGACAACTCGTACTTCTCAAACTTCGAGTCTGAATGCGCGATAATGGGAAAGAGGAGA